CACTGTGTGGTGGTGCTTTTCCTTTCGATGTAGTGGACTCTAAATGGCCCAAAGCTATTTTTAAGGGATCCAGTCGTACCTTCTCAGGGGATTGGATTGGAGACACTCTTATGCAGGTGCCAGGAGGTCCAAGTACCTTCTGAGAAGGTACTTGGATAGGAAGAAATGGGCGAACACCTGCTGGTATCCCCTGCCAGCATTTCCACCATCACCAACCCCGAACCGATCCTATGACTTCCGACGAATTTCTGCGGCAAAACTTGGAGCAGAATCGATCACCTATGGAAGAGGAGACCTGCATGACGAACGAGTGGGGTACCTACTGCGGTACCTACTCATACCTGCTCGACTCTTCATTCATGGAGTGGGCTGGGGATGCACAAGCTCGCTGTGGGAAGAGTATGCAGGATGAACTTCTCAAAGCGACACCGGACATGACCTGAAGAGACCGAGTGTTCGTGGGTGTTCCGTCCAGGACGCTGCAGGACACTGGTTCCGTCGGGACTGGCCGACCAGCTGACATTGGAAACCACCCGTCCATTGCAATAGGTCAATAGGTCATACATGGATTGTCTGGGTCATAGATCCGGAAAGAAGTAGGACAACTTCCTCGACCAACCGTCAATTCTGGGTCTGTCTGCAAGACTGTTCATCTTAAAGGCGGAATGGCGGGCTGAAAACCACGGTGTGGTCTGGCCACCCAACAATCAATTTCTAGCAGGATGGCAAGACTGTTTCCCTGTGTCCCCCACCCAAATCCTGACCTGCAGCTTGTAATTAACATGCACCAGGTCTCAACCATAAATCCAACCATTCACGTCATCTTGCCATCCACCACGCAGTCTTTGGACTCCTCCCGTCGAGCCACCGTCTTGATCACGCGCGTGAGGCGAATCACGCGGAACACCTTCCTGGGCGACACGGCGTGTTTTCTCCGCCGACGATTCGGACGATGCGACGCTGGGCGACGCTTGGAGTGGTTTGATTGGTTCATGTGTCATGCTGGGCGACGTTTGGCCCATGCATTCAAGAGCTCTGGATTCATGGCCCCAGCCATTGTTTTACTATAGTAAACAACATGACTGGCAGCCAGGTCAACCGCTTTGATATCAATGTGATGTGTTGTTTTAAAAATAATCTTGGACTCCCAGGGTCCTTAGCTATTGAAAATGGAGTGTCTGGGTAGTCTCCAAGGTGAATCGGGTTATCTTCTCTTCGTGGGCCAAAGGGCCGAAGGGCCATAGTTCGTTCCTTCCCCGCACAGGCCGTGTCCACTGCGTGTCCACCACTGGCTGGCTTGGAACAGCACCCTGGAAGCTTGAAACAACAGTTCCCCACAGGCAGACATGAGCAGGATGTGACTCAAAGCCAGAGTGGAACAGGTCACACAATCGCACGAAACTTAAGGCCGATCTCTTCAATGTCCAAAGAAACACTTTCCTTCTCCAAAATGGTTTCCAGGCCTCAGGATCTGTAGATTGCCATGGTGGATGTGTCCTTTGCGTCCCCCCACTCCAAGGTTTTCTTCTTTGTCGAAAAATCACCATTCTCATCTTCGTCAGGTCTCAAGCTACTGAAAGTGATCGGGTCTGCTGCAGCTGTGCTGGCGGTGACAATGTCGATGGAAACTTCCTGGGCTGTGCTGAGTTGAACTGAACGATGATCTCCGACCGTGTTAACCGTGTTAACACATTAGCTGCAACGCGGCCTAGGTAGCTGCTTCGCAGCTAGGAAATGCGGGTTCTGCCATGCATGTTGCAAAAATCCGAGAAACATACCACTGTTGCCACAAAGAATCAAAGGCTCAATTGGAGAGGGTTTTGAGGGTCCAAAACCCTGCCATAGATAGGGAGAGTGCAAGGGTTGTCTGGGCAGGCAAATTGCCGATGATCTTGACAATTTTACAAATTCAAAGCCAAAACCGATGGGCTGGACCTGGCTGCCAAAACCCAGCCATGGCCTGATCACGAACAGCTGCGGCGTTAAACTGTCGATATGCGTTCACTGCTAAGCGCTTTTACGAGGGGGGCATTTTCGTTTGGGAACGAAGATGCATATTCTGCATCATGAAATGCGCCTGCGAGAAAACATTGCAAAACACAAAACTAGACGACGAGTGGCCCGAAAATCATTTTTCACCACGTGTGAAGTTAGAGTGTGAGTTGTGTGGTAAGTGTTCCGTGTGAAGTGTTAAGTCTAGTGTGTTGAGTCAGTGTGTGGGTCTCTGTGTGTGTGTGTACCTATGTCTGTGTGTGTATGTGTCTCTCTCTGTAACGAACACCTTTTTTCTGCAAGTTCTTGACCTCTCGCAAGCCACCGACATCTGGGTAGCGCTGCGTCCACGCCTCACACAACTTTCGCAGAACAAACAAAGTGAGAAGACCGGTGAGTGGACCAGGTTGAGAGGCCAGACAGTAAGCTTGAACCTCGACATATAACGCCAGGTTACGCATTCAGTTCTGAAGCTAGCACAGAGTTTGTTCGATGTCACAAACCAAAATCGAGTTTGTTGGATGTTTTTACGTCCATTCCCTGAGAAGCAATAGCATCAGACCTTGACCAAAATGCTTACAGACCGATTCGTAAAAACGGGAAGTATTCCACTGTTTACATGTAAAAGTCTTCAACGGTGTAAAGCCAGTAAGTCGCGCGCAGGCCTCCCAAACATGGCACAGCTTGAGGTCAGGGAGCACGTCCCTGATGTAACCTGGCCCTACCGGCCAGTGTGTCCCCAGCAGGGCGCATTAGCGCATTGCCCCTCCTTTCAATGGTGCGTTGGCCCCAAGGACACAAAGCTGTTACCCCTTGGGTATTGTGAAAGGCCCACAACTGAAGAAGTCACCTGGCAACTGTTGAAAGCATCAGCCAAGTATTGCGCAAGCTTGTAGACCTCATTGCTTGTGGGATGTGGCTCCCCTCTTTGGCACAAGATGAAGATAATAAATGCCACAGTGTACTTCTTAGTACTCTCCTTGCAACTCTTCAAGCCAATGAGCTTCATTCTCTTGACAATGGTACTCACCATTGCTGGCAAAGGTGAAGCCCTTACTGATGCCAACTCTTCAGTGGTCAGGTAGTTGTAAACGCTCAAGAGGCTTTGGGGCCTGGCAACTAGCTTCAGAGTTCCCTGATTGGAGTCGACAATTGCATTGTCCAAAGCCTTCTGCACAGACTCCTTCAAAGTACTAGTAAGGGTTGACTTCTTCAAGACATTGGAAAGTCTTGTGAAGGTGGATGTACTCATCTCTCCAGCATGCTGAATTTTGAAGATGACAGATTCTGCAAAGCTGTTGGCCGCATCATCGCCTGGTCGAGCTAGATGAATCTCTGCTAGAGACAGAATCTCACCTTCCAAAGCTTCCACTGACCATTGAGCCATTGATTCACAGTAGCTTGGATCACCTGTGATTGCTTGAGCCTGTGAGTGTGCAGACAAAACTTTCAATGATGCAACTATGCTTGAAAAGCAAGCAGTGAATTGAATCAAACAGTCAACCAACAACAAAAATAGATTCAGACATATCAATTATGAATGTTTATATTTCAAGTCAAATTGAATTCAAACAAATCTATAAAGTCAGAAAGCTAATTTGTAGAATTGCAAGACTCAGCCAAAAGGCTAATGACTATGTGTAAATACACAGCCATAAGCCTAATGATATTGACACTGATCATGCTCAAGACTCCCAATTATATATATATATTGATATTAAAAATATACTAAAAGTTTAGTCTGTAAATATAGACTAAAAAATAAAATGTTAACATTTCAATTCAGCAAACTGAATTGAAAAATAGAATATTAATATTTCAATTCAGCATGCTGAATTGAAAATTAAAATTTCAACATTTCAATTCAGCATGATGAATTGAAACATAAAATATTAATATTTCAATTCAGCATGCTGAATTGAAAATTGAAATGTTAACATTTCAATTCAGCAACCTGAATTGAAATTGTTAGGTAGTTATCCTTATGATAAACTTTGTTTTTGCTTATTTTACTAACCTTGAACCTTACATGCATAGCCCAAATAACCTTACACATATTAGTTCAACTCATCAACAATCTTGAAGCACAATGCTGCAAAAGCACTAGTATTGTCAAAGCATATGAAGGCCAATGTCTAAAGCCTTTGATGGCTAATGTCTATAGAAATCAAACCATGTTGGTTAATAGGCTTTCATTTATTCCAAAACATTTGTGGTGACAAGCCCTTTGGGCTAATGAGTTCAGCATTGGACCAAAGAAATCATACGTACCTTTTCACTCTCCATCATTCAGCTGTCACCTATGGCCTGATCTCTTCAGGTCTTATATCCAAGCCTCTTTGGACCATCATCTCCATATTTATGGATGTGGGACTCTAACATCATGAGCTGAATCCTCATTTGGTCGTGCTCTGCAAGATTGGCCACCACCTTGTTGAGTAGTCCTTGCCTCTGTGTCCTGTACAAGGCCATCACCAAGCAGCACTGATTGAACCAGCCAGTCTTGGTGGGAATGAACTCTCCAGCATCCTTGTGCACATGGGCCTTGGGGCCAGGCTTGTTTTTCCTTTCCAACTCCCTGCGCTCCACAGACTCTTTGTCCAAGCCCACAGCAACCAGTGCCTGGAAATATCCTTCATTACACTCTTCATCTTGCTCCTCCTCCTCTTCAACCTCCTCCTCTTCAATGGTATCCTGGACAGCTGAATGGCCCTTCATTGTATCACCACCAGCCTGATGTAATGCATCATCATGTTGTTTTGACTCTTCTGTAGTATACTGCTGGTAGTTCTCCTTCTTCTCCCAGGTGACCCTAGTGGCACCAGATGTTTGGTGAGCTTGCTCCTGCAAAGGGTTGACAGTAAAACAATGGGCACAGTCAATTTGTCATACAAAAGATATTGTAGTCATTTAAACACACCTGGTTGCAAGGCCATTGAACAAAACATTCCAAAGACATGAATGTACAGCACTGCCTGAGGGTATGTGGACTCATCGCACTGAGGTGCTACATGTTCCCAATGATGCTCACCGCAGTCATCTTTCCATTGAGGCTCACCCCAATCATCTTGCCATGTAGTCTTCTTCCATTGAGGCTCACCCCAGTCATCCCAGGCATCCCAGGCAGCCTGCTCACTGTCATAGCCAGTCCATGTAGGCTCGTCATCATTGCCACCTGCAGTGTCCCACTGCTCATACCAGTCCTGGTCTGCAGTAGATTAACTGCACATTCAAAAACCTAGCTATTGACTAAGCACAAAGCTTGACAAATATGAATTTTGGATCAACACAAGTCCTGAGAGCTGCTACCATGCCATCTCTTGCTAGGAGGCTCTTGTTGCCACTCTGTGGCAATCCTTTTCATGGCTACACTTGAGCCTCAGTCCCTGATGAAGTGGAAATTCTGTGGGAAGGTATAGACAGAACAGCAGATGTGCACACACCAAAGCCTTCAAGCTAATGCGATGACACTGAA